ATATATATATATATATATATATATATATATATATATATAGAGGGAAAAGTGAATATACCCCAAAGGTATATAAGATTAGGAACCTAATACTTTCATTAATGATTTCATTTTCTGAAAAAAGATAATGCAATTTCCTTAAAAATACGTTGGTGGTTTTTTATATCCTTAATTTTCTGAAAACGCAATCCCTATCTTCCTTGATCTTCGATTGCTTCTTGCTTCCGTGATCATTGTTTTTTTTTAAAAAACGCAGATTGATTGATATCCTGGTTCTGCTTCTACGAACTGGATTTCACAGAAATCAAAGAAAAAAGGTTCAAGAAATCGGTTTTTCTCACACTTCTTATTCAATAAATCTGATTTCACGTAATTCACTGAAAATCTTTCTTGATCTTCGATTTGCTTCTTGCTTCGGTGATCGTTGTTAAAAAAAACGCAGATTCATATCCTGCTTCTACGAACCGGATTTCACAGAATTCATAGAAAAAGAAGGTTCAAGAAATCGGTTTTTGTCACACTTGTTATTCAAGAAATCTGATTTCATGTAATTCACTGAAAAAGGAGGTTGTAGTAATAGAATTTCACACAATTCTGTAAGTCTTCCTTTTTATGCGTATTTTGCATATGAATTCATGATTTTGGACAATATTAGCCTTTTTCATAGCAACTAGATGCTTCGAATTTAGGCATGTTTAAAATGGTCAATTCTGCATCATCTAATTGACGAAGCTTCAAAAGGGCTTCAGCTGTGCATGCAAATAGCTAAAAAGTTTGATAAACATAAAATTCATTTCCTTAATGGCTTCGTCGCATTCTTTGACTCCTTCGGTCAACCTTTTCAACCCATCAATGCGGTTGCATGATTGCAGGGACAGGCTGCATTCGCCGGCGATTGAGCTATTGCTAGATAGTAAAAAGTAAAAGCATCTAAAAAGTGTCAATTTTTCTCTTTAAAAAGGGTGAATTCAAAAACATGAAACTGGGACCACTGCCCATCAAAAGCAACCTATGTTTGCTTTGGAGCACCTCGATATGTTTGATAATTTTTCATTCTTCAAAATGTCAATACTGGAACTAGTCGGAATTCAAAGAAGTAGAAAATAATGGAAGGGAACGATGAAAAATAAGGAAATAATTAAGCAAAAGAATGAAATCATTTAACAAAAGAATGAAATCATTTAACAAAACTACATAGTTTTAACGATTGGGTACACAAACTTAGGTACCTATAAGGGTATATTCACTTTATATATATATATATATATATATATATATATATATATATATATATATATATATATATATATA